GGTCAAGAGTATCCTATAGAAGTTTCTGTTGGCCATGGGATTATTTATGACATTTTATAAAATTGCCACAACTGGAATAACCAGAATGGGGAGAAGAGGAAAGAGAAAAATGACCAACTTTGTTTTTCAAGAAGTCCATAAAGGTTTTTCTGATAATAATGATAAAAACTGATATTTTCTATAGTGTTTTTATAAGATGAATTTTTACACAAGAGTCTTTACAATTTCATCTCTGTAATATTTTGAATACCTTTATTAGTGCTAGTATTAAAGAAGAGTAAAAGTAAACTCAAGGGTGACCAACATTTTGGATGTTATGTACCTATCTAATAGTGAGAATGGAAATTCATATATCGTTTGCAGCTTTAAATCTTACGCTCTTTCTACTTCAGCATGCTCTTTCCTTGATAGCAGTTGTTTTCTGAAGCAGGGGTATATTTCAGAATCTCTAGGGATGGGGCCCAGGTATATGTTTTTTTGTTTCTCTGTTGAGCAGAATACATACCCAAGTGATTCTGGTGCCTACTTCTTGATAAAATCATTGTTCTATTCTAGGTTTAATTCTTCTTTTCCTGTATCAGCACCTCTAAATCAATGCATAGACCATGTGAATAAATCAAAGAATTAGACTGATAAGGAATACACTGATTCCAGCTGTTAGGTGGGACATCAACAACACTTTTGAAAAAGCAACACAAGTTTAGTTTCCTGTTCACAGTCTTGAGTATCTGTCCACTAATCAGTGCTTGTGGAGAGCGGGAATTCCTTACTAGCCAACCATTGTAGTTAAATCTATTTGTGTTCCCTTCTCTGCTTTTCTCATATTAATTTTGGCTAGTTAGTAGTCTACCCTTAAGGTATTCTAGTCCTAAAACATTGACTCCTTATTGCCTGAGATGGTTTCTTCATGAATGTTTTAAATTGATTAGCTAAAGACTTTTAGTAACCTTTTCCCAGCTGTCTTAAAGATGCTTCAGTGTCCTGGATTTAGTGGTATTTCTAGGCCCTATTTAACTCTGTATGTATCTCATTACTAAGCTGAAAATTTCCCTTTGAAAGAAAGTACAGTGTCACAATGGGTTAGGAGAAGGGCATACTCTAGAAAACCTCCAGTCAAAAGTTAATCACGTTGCATAGTAACTTTTCAAAAATAAAAACTACCTTCAAACATACAAAGACAGATTCTATTGGAAATAAGACTGTCGAATTTGAAAATTAAGCATTTGCTACTTGGGGCAGTAACTGTTGAGAACGAACTGTCTTTTAACTCAGAGTTGCTTATCAAAATGCAGTTGAGCAGTGACTATAATATGTTAATGTTAACTTTTAATTTTCTGAGCAGAGATCATTTCATTAGAAACTGTTTACATTGGATATTGGGCTGCACTGAAATTAATGTGTTTGGAATGTTCTTATATATGTATATGTATATATATATATATATACACACACACACATATATATATGTATGTGTGTGTATATATATATATATATATATCTTAACATAGAAAATACAGTTCTGCATATTTTTTATTACTTGGGCTTTAGGACCTTCTGATTAAAATGACTGACATTAATATGTCATTCTAGATTAAACTAAAAAGATTTTTTTTAATTAGTACCTGCAAAGCATATCATTATATTCTTTTTTTTTTTTTTTTTGCGTTACGCGGGCCTCTCACTGTTGTGGCCTCTCCCGTTGCGGAGCACAGGCTCCGGACACGCAGGCTTAGCGGCCATGGCTCACGGGCCCAGCTGCTCCGCGGCATGTGGGATCTTCCCGGACTGGGGCACGAACCCGCGTCCCCTGCATCGGCAGGCGGACTCTCAACCACTGCGCCACCAGGGAAGCCCTATATTCTTAAAATATATATTATTCTGTTAATTATATGCAGATTGGACTTGTCTTTGTTGTACTGTAAATAAATTTTCTTATAAACAGAATAACCAAGGGCTTTTAAGATATTAAAATTTTCCCAACTCAAAAGATTTTTAAAACCTATTGTAATAAAGAAATGAGAGTTGGTAGTTATAGGTCAACATAAAAGCAGTGTAAGACTTATATTTCTGTGAACAATGAATTCAGAAGCTTTTACTTCGTGGATTTCTACCTATTTTTATTTTGTGTTGAGAATCTGTTAAATAGATTTATATGGCAAAAATGTGGCAATACTTTTTATTTTTTAAAAGCTGGTCTGTCTAATTTATGTTAATAGAGATTTTTTGGTTCCTTTATACTTAAATCTAGATGCATTGTTACTGTATTCCAAAAGGTAGAAAATTTGATACCCTAGTCCATCAATTCTAAGACACTTCTTTTTATAAATTTTAACAGCTCTGAAAAATGAGACATGTCTTAAAATTGATTTGTGTCATAGTTTAATGGAAGCATTTTTTTCTTGGTGAAATATAAAACTCATGGTGCATCTTATAATTATTGATGTCTTAGGCTTGATAAAAAGTGATGGTTAATTTTTTGAAGTTAGTTGTGGGACTTAGATTTATGTTATGATGTGTGGTATATCTTTGTGGTGAAAAAAATCTAAGTGGTGAGAACATACCACAAAAAATTCCATATTATTTGGAATTATACCTGTACTATGATCTTTTAGTGTTTCCTTCATATCTTTTCCTCTTTTTTTCATTGCTATCATCCTAGTGTTAAATAATAAAACTAAAAAAATTGGTAACAAGTTTGATGTCCTTTATTCAAGGGAAAAACAATCCATAGATTGGGGGACTACAGTGCCTAATAAGCACCTCCCCAGGGGATTTTGGGCAAGAGTGAGTTTTATGGGGCCTTAGAAGAGGCACTGTGAAAACAGGACATGATTGGCTAGGAGGCTGGGGGCTTCCTTATAAGGCTAGCAGGTTCTATTTTCTAGGGCAAAGTAGGCTAGCTAAAGCTGAGTTGGAGGATTGTGATTGGTGTTGGGTTTCCTTGAGAGTGAGGTATTTTCTGTAGTTTAGGCTGACTTAGGTATAGGTTTGGGATGTGGTCAGAGCCACTGAGATGACTTCCGTTTTGTGGGTTCCAATATACCAATTAACTTTAACACTAGTTAGGTGTTTACATTAAACTGGTTCCCTATCTGTGGAAAGCTATCCAGAACAAGAAGAGGAAAATGGAGATCAAGAGAAGGAGGAAAGACTTGGGGTTGCAGGTGGGGTCGTGGTTGTGGTTGGGACCTCCAGGGTCAAGAAAAGAAAAAAAGGGAGAGGACTCTTGAGGGGAGTATTAATAGGCATCATTTTCCATTTACCCAGTTCCACTTGCCCAAAAATCTTCTTCTGGTTAAGTCTTTGATGTGATATATTAGCTTGTGAGCTACCCAATAGTTAGCTAAAATTACTTCAACCATATTCCCTAGATTCTGAAAGCATAAGCCTTCTTGCTAAGGCCTTTCCTTTTTCTGTGGAAGTTGCCCTCTTACCCCCTCTAGCCTTATGGGTAAATCATCTGCTGGTACCTTACTTTCTGTAGACCAAATAGAGTCTGTATTTCATCTTAATGTGCTATCTCAAAATGAATAACTAAAGGGGGAACTACTTATAGAATGGATTTTTCTAGAAGGAACTATTACAGATATGTGCACAATTAAATTTGTTGTTTATAAGAGGTATGGGACTAGCAGATAAGTACTTAATTTTAGGAAACTTTCCTACCTTGCTCTGTGTTTAAGCACCTAGGTAGAGATTAATGCAGCCTTTCCCCTTTAGCTTGTTTGGTTTTATTTCCAAAACTGTAATTTTATCTATTTGTGATATAAATTTATACTGCATGTTCCTGCTTTTGCTTTTTGTTCTCTAAACTTACTAAGAATGTGTACTCTTCAGCAGTTTTAATGGCATGTTTTAGTTATTCCTCATTTAAAAAGAGTCACAGGGCTTCCCTGGTGGCACAGTGGTTGGGGGTCCGCCTGCCGATGCAGGGAGAGCGGGTTCGTGCCCCGTTCCGGGAGGATCCCGCATGCCGCGGAGTGGCTGGGCCCGTGGGCCGTGGCTGCTGGGCCTGCGCGTCCCGAGCCTGTGCTCCGCGGCAGGGGGGGCCACAGCAGTGAGAGGCCCGCGTACAGAAGAAAAAAAAAAAAAGAGTCACAAAGTATGTCCGGCTAATATACTCTATTTTAGGCAAAATCCTTGTAAAATTAAAATTTAACGTTAATAAAATGTAATTTAAATTAAAATTTCAGTATAAAACATAAATTGAGAGAACCTTTTTTTTTTCTTTCCCCCGAAAGGAATTTTTGCTTTATAAAGGGTTTCACCATAGGAATATTTTAAACAAAGTGATTAAAATACCCTGCAAGTTAGTGTAATTGCTGCCTGGAGTAGACTTGGCATTGTTATGGGAAAGGATTAAGACCTAAATATAGTACAGTTATTAAAATTGGGAAATTTAATGTTAAAAAGAAAGAAAGGATTAATGTTGGGCCTAATGCCTGAAATCCTCAAGTTTCCAAAAGTCCCTTTCAGAATCTACACAAAAGCTTTGATTTACCTTTGTATTTTCTTGAATTAAGCAGATTTTTTTTAAAGTCCTGTATTAAAGATGATTTCTTTAACTTATGCAATTTTGTTATTTTAGAATTTTAAAAATTCCAATAGTATTTTCATGTCTTTTCTGCCATGTTATACTCTATACACTTTTTTGAACTAGCTTGGGCACCAGATTAATATTGATTAGTAGCATAAGGACAATAAATTCCACATAACTGACTTACTGGTAAAGTTTTATAGCAAAGTCATTTGCAAGTTGGAGGATTCCATACTGTTCTTAATTACTAACTGCAGTGCCTCAGTGAAATCTAAATGGAAATGAGAGACACTGTCCATGAGTAAAGGTAAACATTATTCACTGATTTGTGAATAGCATTTCAAATATAGATGCTGAGTTTTATGTATTTCTGACAAAATATGCCAGTCATCACTCTTCATAAATTAGCATTCACATAATTCTTTCCGTTTTATTGTCCTAAACTCATTTTCTTTTTTCTCAGAGGATGTGCTGAGTAAAGATGCTGGGGAATGTGCAATATGCCTTGAAGAATTGCAGCAGGGAGATACTATAGCACGACTGCCTTGTCTATGCATATATCATAAAGGGTAAGTTTATTTTCATGTTAACCAAATTGATATTAGACTAAAAGACCTTTCTCAGGTTTCACACTTTTGTAGTTAGGGCTGAGAAGATTTCGTCTTCATTGAAACTCCCTTGCCCCATTTCTTAAAAAGCAATAGCCTTACTGTTGGTGGGAATGTAAATTGATACAGCCACTATGGAGAACAGTATGGAGGTTCCTTAAAAAACTAAAAATAGAACTACCATACGACCCAGCAAACCCACTACTGGGCATAAACTCTGAGAAAACCATAATTCAATAAGAGTCATGTACCACAATGTTCATTGCAGCACTATTTACAATACCAGGACGTGGAAGCAACCTAAGTGTCCATTGACAGATGAATGGATAAAGAAGATGTGGCACATATATACAATGGAATATTACTCAGCCATAAAAAGAAACGAAATTGAGTTATTTGTAGTGAGGTGGATGGACCTAGAGACTGTCATACAGAGTGAAGTAAGTCAGAAAGAGAAAAACAAATACCGTATGTTAACACAAATATGTGGAATCTAAAAAAAAAAAAAAAAAAAAAAAAGTTGTGAAGAACCTAGGGGAAGGACAGGAATAAATACGCAGGGTAAGCTGGGACGAAGTGAGAGGGTGGCATGGACATATATACACTACCAAATATAAAATAGATAGCTAGTGGGAAGCAGCTACATAGCACACAGGGAGATCAGCTTGGTGCTTTGTGTCCACCTAGAGGGGTGCGATAGGGAGGGTGGGAGGGAGATACAAGAGGGAGGAGATAT